TGATTCAGTTCCAAGGTGGGAGAAAGATGCTGGGAATAAAATGGAGACTGGAGGCTGATTGGAATGGAGGTCCATTTATTGAAGAACAGAACCACCAGGCTTGTGGTTTTGGGTCAGCTGAACAATTAGCTAGATGATTGCCAGGATTTTATACAGGCCCTGAAATGCTGCTGGTGTGTGTGTGTGTGTGTGTGTGTGTAATGAAGGGGCTTGTGTTCTGAAAGGATGTTGGGCAATTCTTTTTGTGCCCAATGGCTTTTGTCCTGGCATGGATCTTGGGTGAGGGGCTGCTTGTTCTAATCCTACCATTCTGCTTTTGTTAGCTGTCAAACTTTGCTGCAAGGAGTTTTGAAATATCCTGTCTTGAATGGATTTCTGCCTGCTGCGTTTGCTTTGCTTATGAATAGAGCCATCTAGACCAGGGGGGGGTCAAACTCCAGGATCTGGCTCATGGGGTACTTAGATCTGGCCTGCAGGGCCACTCTGGAACCAGCAAAGGTCCGGCTCCCGAGCTTCATTTTCATTGGCAAAGGGTTGCAGGAGGCCCTCACAGGAAAAAATGGAGCTCAGGAGCCCGTTTCCACTGGCAGAGCCCTCAGGCCTCCACAGGTGCCCCCACCATGAGTGATGTCAAGCTAGCCACGCCCACCTTGGCCCCCAGGAGTCAAACACGACCCTGATGTGGCCCTCAATGAAATTGCGTTTGATGCCCCTGATCTAGATAGCTGGGTTCCTCTTTCAGGAAGCTCTTCACCTCCTTAAGTGCTGGCATCTGCTGTGGGCTATTAAGAAAGACTGGGGACTACTTTCTGCCTCTAAAAATATGTCTCCATTTCTCCTTTAGGGAAATATTGTATTCTACCTTTTTTAATATTTCCCAAAATATTTCATTCTTGGGGGGGGGGAGGGGTTCCCTCATTGGGTTAAAAGAGGAAATTGGTACTTTTGCTAATTTCTCTTCTAAAGAAGTGTCCCCTATTCTAATGACCAACAGTGAACTTGAAATGTTTTTTTAAAATGAAAATCCAGCCTTTACCAGTCCACTGGCGAATTTGTAAAAATGTAAACAAAGCACGAGCGTATTTCAACCGTCTGCCATGCGAAGATCTCTTTCAAAGGAGAAAGAAGCCCAGGACGAAAGGGGGCAGAGGGCAGGGAGCAGCAATAATAGGAGAGGATCTCAGATGACCAGTTACAGCAGAGATATTCGCCTAGAATGAAATGAGGAGCTGTGCTAGAAGCGACAGCATTGCCTGGGATGGTGAAAATCAGATTGACATTTTTTACTCAAGAAAACACAGGCAAAGGCTGCCTTTCCAGGGTGGGGGAGGACACATTATGAAAAATGAAGGTGCGAATTCTGAGGTCAATTAGAATTGCTCATCACAAGAGAGCATAAAAACTGAAGATTGAAAGCAGGACTTGCTATGGCTCTTCCAAATCCTTTCTATGGACGGAGAGATAAACCACCCTGTGATGATGGAGTGTATGCATAGAAAACCTGACTGGGCTTTCTTAAAAACACCTGTTCAGAAGCCACCTGTGAGGCTGATCCCAACTAGATCAAATGCAGGTGGTTCCCTTTGCCCAGAAGCAATTACCCCTCTTGCCTAAAAGGGCGAGCCAGGCGGGTTTTACGAGGGAAGCCTGGTGGAGCGTAGAGGGGAGCCCTGATTTCCCAACCCAACAGGGCCGGGGTTGGCTGCTCGCTTCCACGGGCAGAGAGCCGTTCCTCCCGCCCCCCCCTCCCGGGTCGCGACCTCTGCCTCGCCCGGCCCGCCTGGGGCCGAGAGGTGAGAGACGGAGACCGCTTCTTCCCGCCCGAAATACTGTTTGAATCGGAGAGACCCGCCTAGCAGTCCGCCACTAGTGGACCAATCAAAAGGCGAGGCTCTCCGGCTCCCTGCCCGGAGCTGGCTCGTGATTGGCCAGATCGGGCGAGGGCGGTGAAATGGGGAGTCAGACAGGTTACAATGTATCCAAATTAATCGCGCAGAAGGGAATCCAGCCACAAACAGCGGCCGTCACGAGGGGGCGGGGCCGGGGGAGGGGGGGGGAGGGCGCCCTTCTGCCGGCGGCGGCGCGGAGCTTCGATTAAGCGGCTCGATCAGCGGGACGGGCTTTCCTCGCTTGGACGGACGGGCGGCGCTGCCCGCCAGGCGCTCTTCGGCGGCTCTTCTTCCCCGCGCAGCGCAGCCTCGAGGAGGCAGCCGACCGTCAGACGCCTCCCTGCTGGCTCGGCTCTCTAGCAGCTTCTGCCTGGCTCTGCCTGCTCAGGACGCGACGGCTGCTGTGAGCCGGGCCGGCTCCTCCTCGGGGGCGGCGGCGAGGCCGGTCCTGTAGCCGGGCAGGCAACGCGGAACAAGGCGCCGGTTCCTGCTCTGCCGGGCGAGCGCTTGGAGAAGAGGCGCC